GATCTCGAAGGCGTTGTACAGGCACATCCTGCTGGTGTACTCGGAGCTGATAACCATTCCGTCAAGTGGAGATGGAGGCGAGCAGAGTGCTTGGCCGACGTGTTTTGGCGCAGGTGGCGCAGCAACTATCTTCCCTTCTGCAGCGTCGGCAGAGGTGGCTCCATCCCAGCAGCCCTTGGTTGTGGCGATCCTGTGCCGGTCGCCGATGAGGGCCTTCCGAGGTGTCAGAGGCCGCTTAGCAGGGCGGTCGTGACAGGGGTGAGTAGTGACGGTCTCGTCTGGAGCTCTAGGATGAGGACCAGGGGGACCCATGACCATGTTTGTCATGCACGCCATTAGATGTTTGTCAGTTGTGTCGCCCGGTTACGAAATTGGTGCTCATGTGCTAGGTATGCTATACACTTATAAATGTGCCAAGCACGCTGTGCATGTATTGATTTGCTTCATGTGCTTATTTGCCAACTACTTGCTAGATGTACAGACGCTACTGCTAGCTGAAGCCATGGAATTGTGTTTTGGACCGATACTGTGACGCATTGTGGCTTTTGAAAGCCAGGGGCTTCAACGGGGCGGGCGTAAGCGCGTCACTGGCTCGGCGCGCCCGGCCCCGGCCGGGGTCCGCGGACCTGGCCGAGTGGCCTACCGATTGACAACGAACACCCCTCGGGGAGGACTGCGGCTGCCCGGAGGTGGTCGTTTTCCGCTCGCGCTCGCCAGAATTCTGTACACGTACGCCGTTAGATGTTTGTCAACATCGTTTCCGTTCGAAATTATAAATTATGCGTACATTTGCGACTGCCAGGTACGATAATGTCGATTTGTCAGAGTTTGTTGATCATTTAACCCAAAAGCGTTTCTTCGTCTGATGTCGATGCTTGTTTGCTTGCCGAGCCTGTGGCATTTGTTCGCGATACGAAATTACTTTGGACAAAGTCACAACCGTTCTCTTTATTCGGTGTTTGATGGCGATGGCGGCAACTCAGAACACATCCGTGGCCAGTCTGCAGTATAGTGATACCGTCGGTAAGCATGGATGGATGGAAATGTTATGGCCCATTTGTCGAGTTGTAGAATCAGTCTGGTGTGTTCATAGCCAAATAGTGGTTCCGTGATGACGGAACCGATGGCATTCATAGTGATAGCATTCGTTTTGATTACAACCTGTTTTTCATTGCATCTATTCCCGATGAAATGTTTTCCAGAAACCGTGTCATGCCTCTTGGCACAACACAAGGTACCAGAGCCGCATACGTGTGGCGACAACGACTTTGGAGGCTGCAGGCGGCTGCACTCTCGCTTACTGCAACAAAGCAACACCATCAATGCACCGCCGGTACCCGTCTTAGCGAGCGTTACCATTTCTGGACAAGAAGTCCGAAAAATTATAAGCTCTCTGGATGCGAACATATCCACGGGTCCCGACGAAATACATGTCAAATTACTCAAGCTGAACACGCTTCTCATGTCCAGACCATTAGCACAGTTGTTTAATAAATCATTAGCGTTAGGAATATATTTCGGTAAGTTCAAAGGAGCGGACAGTATACCGGTATTTAGATACAAAGACTCGCCATCGGACTATTCCTGCTATCGACCAATAAGCGTCCTTTCGGCGCTCTCAACAGTTTTTGAAAAAGCATTATATAGAATGTAGGCGATAAATTCACGAGAGCTCCGACTCCGAACTCAGGCAAATAAAGTAGGTACCGCAGAGCCACAGCACTCAACAGCAGCTATTATACTTCACGCACAACCTATACAAATCGTTCGGCACAGAACGCGACTTGACGGCAATATATCTCGGCATTTCTGAATACTTTGACAAAATTTGGCATGACGGTCTGCTGCACAAATGCCAACATGACTGTGGAATCACAGGATGGCTTTAAAACTGGCTTAAGTCGTACTTACAAGACAGACGACAGAGGGTTCGAATACATGACACTTTTTCGATGACTCAAACCGTAAACGCCGGCTGCCCGCAGGGCTCCGTACTCGGAACTGTACTAACACTCATTTATCTTGAAGCATTCTCAAATCAAACACAGAATGATATTCTTTTCCTTGCTGACGACACCTCTCTGTACACCTTACACACAACGACCGACTTACGCGTGACCGAACGTCTGCTCCAACACGACTTTGACGAAATACACGAATATGGTCGGGAATGGACTATCACATTTAATACCACAAAACAGCCTGGAGACATTCCCATATAAACGCAAGCACCGGCCACCAGCGCTTACATTTAGAGGCGACCCATTACCAGTCCACGACACACACACATACCTTGGTGTGAAATTTTCCAAGGATCTCCGCTACCAATACTTTAAGAAAACATGCCACAAAATGGTCAAAACACTCAGCCCTCTGTATCTGATAGCACATTGCATACCAAGGCCCATTCTCAATCAAATGTACAAAGTGTACACGAGACCTCTTTCTGACCACTGCGACGCTATCTACGACGGCCACATCACGGTACAGGATGCGATCAGACTTGAAGCACTACAAAACTGAGCCGCGGCACTGGTGACCGGGTCACTCTTCAGAACGCCATGCGACACACTGCGAGCTGAATCAGGATGGAACAGACCGACGACGGAGCGACATATACACCGACTGACACTCCATCACAAACTAAACGACGCCAAGCAATGTACACCGAACTACATGACGGCAGTCATGCCGTATACCTGCGTTCAACAGAAATCTCAGAAACGCAAGCACGCACACAACAACCAAATGTTGTACGTCATCGGGCCGCAAATAATTTTCGCAAAAGTTAGCAGGCGCTAGAATGTACTGCACGACAGCATACGACACCTCACCCAACCCGCCTTTAAAAAAACACTGCGAGTGGTTGGGACTGCCCGACCCAACCTATTGCTGCACAGTACAATCAAAGGAAGGGAAAGAATGGTCATGTCTTGACTGAATTCCATTTCTTTCTTGTTAAAAATAACCTCGTTGGCGCATCAGTGTATTTTCCTAATGTACCAAATTGAATGCACTCGTCATTTCGTCCTGTCGTGCCAAAAGTACATAGAGCAACGAAACGATGTTTGAAAACATATCTAGAATGCGGCACATCGATGTTAGACACAAGTTACCCTCATATCAGCTACAAAGTCATTACATGGCGCAGGCCTCATCGACGGCGACTATTTCGTGATGGCTTGCCATTTCCAAAACGTTCTGCTCAAATCCAGACGATCTATCGACCCTTAGTGTTGTTAGTAATCTCCCTCACCTTACCTTATGGACGTGGCATTCCCGGTGAGGCGTGTGGTGGCTGACCATCCAGCCGAATTAAATAGCTGAGCGAGCTGCACGGTGGCGGCGGTCGCAGATAAGCATTTCTTTCGCGTGTTTCAGACAAGGTGCATCGATTTAAGCTCCTGCTCTTGCGCCTTCCTGATTTATGTTCGCTTTCCTTCGCATGTCTTGCTTAACCAATATGATTATGATGACGATGGTGATGATAATGAATACGTGGAAGGCCGCCGATCGATCAAGAGTGCCCAGGCATGTCAGCAGATTGTGCTCCCACAGCAGCGTAGGGCCCTACGAGAAATGCGAAGGGATCAATGCGGTGGCGATGCGGTGGCACCTGCGCGCGGAGACAGGGTGCCTGTCTCACAAGCTTGCCGAGTTTTACATTATATTTTCTACCTGTCACGGAAACAAAGTTTTAAAATGCACGATTGCCCTCCTCCAACATCCGACCCGTGTAGAAGCCTCTAAAAAGGTATTAAACTATCTCAAACACTGCGAATTTGGAAGGTGTCGTGAACCACTCCGACATTCACCGTGCTGCACGGTATCAAGTGTGGCACATCACAGCCATTTCAAACAATCAATCCATCTGCTAGAGCATTGTTCGCGGGATCAACTCCTCCCTCCAGCGCCAGCCCGCCGACGAGTGCGCCGATCGTACGCCGGCTCTCGCGTCCTGGCGCATGCGTCACCCGCCCGCAGTGCTGCCACCTGTGATCGGAGCGGTGAACTAGCCCGTCGTCAGTTGGTTTATTTTGGTCGGCGCTGGCGGTGGCCGACGGAAAGTTGGCCGTGCGGGCCGACAAAATAGTTGTGCCATCGCAGTGTTTTGTTTAAAGAGTGCTTGCCCCGGCGGCGGCGGTGCCGGCGGCGCCGCGGACAGACGGACTCCGCTGGCGTCAGACGCCAGGCCGCTGGCGCGTGCTGTGCTTCCCACCGTGGTCCGCCCCGTCGGCGCGATCTTCAGAAGACGCCAGCGTGAGGCTGCCCCCTTGACGGCAGTTGTGTGCTGGCGCGGCTCATAGTGCGGACGACTCCGTCGGCGCCGGCACAGGTGTGCGTCGGTCCGCGGTCCGGGCGCCCCGCGGCGGGGGCCCGCGGCGTTCACTAAGGTGCCGCTCGTGCCCGCCTGCTGCCGAGTAACCGTGCTGCGCGCCGGCGACCTTGCCACAGCTGAGGGAGTCAGCTGTGGCGTCACCCCGCGGGGCGCACAGCGGCTGCCCGGCCACATGCCGCAAGGAGGCTTGTGACCCTCGCGCGCTGCGACCGTCGCCAGGTCACCGCCGGCCGGCGCGGAGGGCGCAGATCGGAGCAGCGCGGGCGGCGCCGCGGCCCGCCGGCGCGCTCCGGGTCGCTCCCCGCTGGCACGCGACGCCCATGCCGCCGCCGACGCCGCGGACGCCGAGTGAGCTCCGCAGTGAGGCAGCGACCGCGGCCCCGCCGCCCAGACAGAGCCGGCGGCCCGCGCGGGCGCCGCTCATCGATTCCCCTCAGGGCACAAGAGCGCGGCTTCGGGGACGGGCCCGGCCGCCGCCAGCGCCGCTGAGCCGCCCGGCCGGCCTCACCTGTCGCCAGCCGCGTCCCGGCCCGGCCAACCGGCGCACCGGGCGGCGCGATGACGCCCGGCGCGCTGTCGGCCGCCGGCCTGCTCCTGGTCCTGACCTGGGCGGCGGCCGAGGAGGCCATGGTGACCCTGACCGTGCGCGGGCCAGGGGGGTGACCAGCATTGACCACCTGCGTGCGCTCTACCTGCCCATGGCGCCCGTGCTGGAGGTGGAGGGAGTCGTGATAGCGGTACGTATGACCGATGGCCATTTGCGGAGCCGCTGCACTGCCATGGGAACAGAACGGCTGGGCGCTGGCCAGTCGATGACAGGCAACCATACCCTATACTGGCGTCACGGAAGGCTTGTAGTTTTCTGGGAATAGGTATCGATCAGTGACGCGGCATGTGAATCAGAGGCGTGGGGTTCAGTGGACGTAATCAAAATTCCTGGGAACGCGTTCTGTGCAAATCACGTGTCGAGGTCTTCCCGACTTTGTGGCTGCGATGGGCCACATGGTCTTCACATTTCACTGCAAGCATCGGTTGCTTTTAAAATTCGACGTCTTGTTTTATTGAGTTGACTCAAGATCTGCGGTCATAAAGTGGAAGGTGTAATGGGGAGCGTGGTGAAGATTTTACCAGATGCGATTCAAAACATGTCAGAGGTGCACATTTCGGCGGTAGAATAAAAGTGCAAAACAGTTCAGGATCGGGACGAGCTAAAAATGTAAAGCTTAACACGAGCCGCAATGATGGACACAGTATCGGCTTACCGTCTTCGTGGAATAGCTGCCCGAGCTGTTGCATTATGTACAATTTTTGCATCAAGCCGACCAATATCTGAAAGGTTTCAGGCTAAGAATACGTGTGTTAAGCTACGCATTTGTGGTGAAGCATACCCTGCATGTAATGTGAAATGCAGCTGTCAAATCGCAAGAGAAGCCCAAGTGTTGCGCTTGGCGTCATGCGCGCATCCCATGCAATTTGAAAACCACGGACGATTGAGGCGTTCCATTTCGCACCATATGACATCTGACTCACGTGCATTTGGATCCGCACAACCACGTATCCATCACTCGCATTCTTTCGCAGTGATGTGTGGACTCACAGCCTCCAAATCGGTTCGTGAAGCGCTCAGCAAGCGAGAGTCAGCTCACCCCGGTATAACGAGTACGGGGTATCCTGACCAAGAGTCACGTTAATCCCACGAATGTTTATGAATGGAATAATGGTGCGAATGCGTGAATTACGTACCGTCACTTGATAAAGCTCCCTTTGGAAATTGAACCAGATGATAATCTCAAAGGGATCGTCTTCCGTAGGTGAATCTAAATGAAAGGCTAACAGCTGAGATGATAATCTGTCGGCATTTTTTAGTCTGTCACCAGGACACCAGCCACCATGGTGTGGTCAGCGGGCAGCAAAGCTTTCACTGCGCATATCTTCGCGTATGTAGTTCCAACTGTACGTCTGTCTTCAGGCAGGCTGCCACTGTAGGTCTGGTCTCAGGACGCCAAAGTCCAGTAATGATCTGGAGTTAAAACACTGGCTATGGGTATCAGTTTGCTATTGGGATGTAAGCTACAACTGTAGGTGGGTGGTCCCGGGAGCAGCCAGCGCCCTACCAACCCACCTATATGTCGAGCAGCCAGCACCCCGCCGACGTGCCTATATGTCGAGCAGCCAGCACCCCGCCGACCTGCCTATATGTCGAGCAGCCAGCACCCTGCCGACCTACTTATATGTCGGGCAGCCAGCACCCTGCCGACCTACCTATATGTCGAGCAGCCAGCACCCTGCCGACCTACCGAAATGTCGGGCAGCCAGCACCCTGCCGACCTACCTATATGTCGAGTAGCCAATACTCCGCCGGCCAACCTATATGTCGAGCAGCCAACACCCCGCCGACCTACCTATATGTCAAACAGCCACCACCTTACCGACCTACCTATATGTTGAGCAGCCAGCACCCTGCCAACCCTACCTATCTGTCGGGCAGCCAGCACCCTGCCGACCTACCTATATGTCGAGCAGCCACCACCCTGCCGACTTACCTATATGCCGGCCGTCAGAGAACCAGCTGTCAATAAAGACAGTGCTCTAAGGAAGCCGCCGTCACCTGTAAGCGCAAAACCGAAACTGTGTGTCAATGTATCCCATGAGTGCGATGCCAAATCCCCAAAAGATGACGAGGCGCGCCTCGCGTCTCTGCTTTCTCTACTTTACCCCCTTTGGCTGAAACCATTTGTTGACGCAGCCACCATAGTAGGAATGTAGTACGTGCAGCATGCACCGAGTAGTATCAGCAATGGGGGATGATATATGCCAGCCTTCATTCCCGGGGGAGAGCAACATACGAACCAGAGGCTTCTGTACTACAGCGGTGGCGGCGCCTTGCGCGCAGCACCAACCAAGTAATGTTTCAGCTTGGTGCGGCCGGCGTGCTCGCCGCCCGGAAACCGCAAGAGCTCGCCGAGAAATATATAATGTTTCTAGCTTTATGGACCACAATCCCCCGCCCTCCCACACCATGCGACCGTGGGTATCTTCCAGGTTGAAATTGCTTTAGTCTTCGCCTCGCAGCAGCATGTGCGGAAATGAACGGCGCAAGTTAGGTGGCGGACCACGGCTGGCGGCAGATACGACGCAGGTCACGTAGCCGTGACCCGTGGCGTCACACGCCGCCCACGGCGGTCCGCGGCTTCGGGAGGCTCCACCGCAGCACGACGCTATCCCGGCCACAATAGGCACGACGGCAGGCCGCGCGTGTACGGCCGGCGTGCCGCGGCACAGCGGGCGGCCAGCTAACAGCGGCGGAGGGGGAGGGGGGCTCCTCGCCATCCTGGTGAACCTATGATGCGCTGTCGCCCCAAGTCTCCACCTAATCTGTTGACGGCTGGGGCGTGCGTGGGCAGCACGGCGCCGTGTTTACCGCCGGCCGAGAAGCGTTGGCGCGGTCCGTGCCCGTCTGCGAGGCGCAGCGACACGGCCCCTGGCCTGCAGCTCGTGCGGTCGATGGCCGGGGTCCCCAGACAGCGATCGCTCGCGGGAGCTCCGACCTGGCGCCCTCTCCGCCCCCGCTCCGTTCGCGGCAGGAGCGCCAGGTGCGCCAGCGCCGCAGGCCGGGAGCCGAGCCCGACCAACGCACCGCAGGGCGCGCGGGTCGATCGCATGGAATGTTGCAATCAACTCGGGGCTCAATCGCTGGCGCGACGCTTAATTCCAGGCCTCACGGCTGGGACATTGCAGACGGCTTGTTTGCTGTCAGCGTGCTGGGACAGCGCTGGGCCCCGTCACAACATGGCCGCTCAGACGATCACGTGCAATTGGAAATCCAATGGACAGTGCAGCCACGTCAGCCACTGACCTACCAATAGGTGAATATTTTCAACGAGCTCCTAGCCAGTGCGACTAGCTCTATCCTGCACGTATTGCAGGCGACGAGCCCCATCCATTGCCTCTGGGTTTAACGCCGGGGCGTTCTGGCGCCCTTGGCGACACCGGTCCCTCGGGAGAGAGCCTGGTGACTGCCTCATCTGGTGCCCCGCTGACGCCGCTCCCTCGGGAGAGAGCCTGGTGACTGCTTCATCTGGTGCCCCGCTGACGCCGCTCCCTCGGGAGAGAGCCTGGTGACTACTTCATCTGGTGCCCCGCTGACGCCGCTCCCTCGGGAGAGAGCCCGGCGACTACTTCATCTGGTGCCCCGCTGACGCCGCTCCCTCGGGAGAGAGCCTGGTGACTGCTTCATCTGGTGCCCCGCTGACGCCGCTCACTCGGGAGAGAGCCCGGCGACTACTTCATCTGGTGCCCCGCTGACGCCGCCCCCTCGGGAGAGAGCCTGGTGACTGCTTCATCTGGTGCCCCGCTGACGCCGCTCCCTCGGGAGAGAGCCCGGTGACTGCTTCATCTGGTGCCCCGCTGACGCCGCTCCCTCGGGACAGCCCGGTGACCAATTCACCTGGCGTCGCTGCTAACACCGGTCCCCCGGAACAGTCTGGCGACTACCTCGCACCTTCCAAAGATGCCTGCGCCCCGTCACCAACGAACAAGCCCAGCAGCGTCGGCCAGCGGCCAGCAAGATGTCGCGCTGTGAGGGAGAGGCTGCAACAGTCGCCTCGCTAGCCCAGCGCGAGCACACCGCCCGTGGCCCACCCTCTCCAAACACAGCCGCTGGCGTGCGCCGGTCAGAGCGGCGGCTGCTGGGGGCCCCCGGCTGCCCCCCCCCCCCCCTCCTGACGGACGCGGCCTGATTCGGCTGGCGGGCGCGCTGCAAGGCGCTGCTAACTGACGCCGGGGAGCGGGCATGTGCGTTCGCGATCTGTCGGACAGCGTTCGCCAGGAGCGGCGGCCAGTAGACAGGACATCGCGCCGCTCCACTGAACGCTGACTGGCTGGAGGCTGTGAGGGGGGCCGATTTTTGGATGGACTCAGACACCCGACCTCCCTCTGCCCAACGCGTCGGCACGATCCGTCATTGCTCTGCTGGTGGAGACAAAATTGCAAGACATCCGAGACCCCTGACGCTGCTGATCGGAATATCCTACAGCCATGGGACAGGGCTTTCTGTGCGAATGCAATTCATGCCGTATTTTTAGCGATTAAGCAAGGTTAATACTAAAAATTCACCATATTGCAGGGGAATCTTGGTGTGTGACGTGATTGTGGGCCCGCATTCTTAAGCTTCGAGCGATGTTACACACAACCAGCCTCTCACTGATCCTTGGCCTCTTTACTGCTCCCTGAGGCGTACCTCGATATTTTCACTTTCTTCAGTGCTAGTGGTCTTAGATGATGGGGGACATGTATATTATGGATGAAATGCATATTAATTAGATAAGCAGGGCCTCATACGACTGGAGAGCATCTTCACTAAATAGAGGAATTATGCTGTCTAGAGCGGTCTTTTCCACTCAAAAGTATACGAAAAGTTATAAGTTAGCTTATTTAATCATATTTCATGCTTGCTTCAATGTCTTCAAATATGGCACATTTCCTCAAAATGCCTAGACCAGTAACGGAGGACCCAGGCTTTCCAGCAGTATGGAACCCCGCCCTTTAGAGCTTCCGTATCATAAGGCATCCTTCATCAAGCAATTGAACGATCAATTACACAAAAGAAGCGTCAAACGAACACGTGATGTAAGCACGCACACTGTAATAACGGGCATATGCCGCGGACGTCATGTGCTGAAAGCAATTCAGAGAAGATGTCAGGCAGCCATTATGGCCTGTAACCAGTGGCGCTTGTAGCAATAAGCACCCCAAGAGGCATCGAGTGTTTTTTATGTATTCAGCGACTGCTTAACACGAGTGTTTTAGTTTCACCGGTATCTCGTAGTATACTGAACGCTAGTTCTTTATAGCGTAAGAACTCATTAGGCGCTTGTCACCTTTATCACCAATATCTAGCATGCTTTCATGAGCCCTGCTGGTCTTGAAGCTCTCTGACTGCGGGCGAGACTGTAACCGAGTAAGGATTGCTGAAACCACGACATAATTTTGAAGGAAAGCAGGCTGACCTGACCCGGTCGTTCCGCTGAAGGCAGCACCTTTGCAACTACTGATCTCAGCTCCAGCAGCTGCCGGTGACAAACACAGTTTTGAAAACGTCGATCTGTGTAATCTTTAAGGCATATCCAAACAGCCCGTTTGATGAAACATGACATTCCTGTCATATTCCAATGTGAGCTGAACTGAGCCTGTAGACCCTATTCGGTTAACAGCAAGATGCCTCTTGCGAAATGGGACCAGGGAGTTGGGAACAGTTGCAGGCGCTACCATTGTTCAAATTACACTGCAATATGAGAGAATCGAACTAATCTTTTTTGCGACCCATGCCAATAGGTCTTGACGATACGTTGGACCATTCTGCGTAATCTAGTTTGCACGCGGAGGTTCGCTGATGTAGGCCCATGTTTCCATTCACCGTTTCTTCACCTACAAAGCTCACTGACGGGCTTACATGTGGCATTGTTCTGAAATTGGCCAGCTGTGGTTCAGACAATGCGCATTCATTTTAGTTACGAAGTTATTGGATGCATATTCAAGTGCGTTTTAGCGGCTGTAACTTAAGTGTGTGAACGAAGCATAATGGTAAATTAATTTTCATAGTTTGAGCGAATATTGAACTGAACCCCCCCCCCCCCCTTCGGTGTAGTTTTTACGGTCAAAACTTCTCCGGCGTAAGCCACAGGTCGTGACGTTTGTGACTGGATCTCAGAAAGACGACATTGGCCGTCACTTGGTCGATTACCGGCATGGCGATGGCGTTTAAACATGGCTGACGTCACTTCATGATTCGAGACCGCACATTTACCTAGGCTGCACACTTTACAGCTAGTTTCACGTCGTCAACTGCTCCGATTCTCATGGTCCGGCATCAATCTTTGAAAACCTTCGACCCGCAATGTCCGCTGCTACCGCCCGCTCTGTCGCCCGCCAAACGATACTGATTAAATGTCAGGATCAGTGACTCCGTTCCTCCAGGATCAGTGAGTTCATGCTGCCGGGATCAGTGACTCCGTGCTGCCGGCATCGAACTGAGCCTCCACCCGTGCTCTTCAGGCTTTTCGAGATTGAGAACTTTCAATATTCATGCTATATACGTTATATACGTTATTCACGTATATGGAAAACGTTTGTGATTTCATAATGTTTCTGCAAGCCCAAAGTGATTAAACAGCTTGCATGCAAACACCCTAGCAATATTGCAACTCGGCTTTCTTAGCATTATACCACTTGCCACTGATCAGCACAGAGAGCGGGGGGCGGGGGATGCGGCACGAGCAGTGGTTGCAGACACAAGTCCTTGAAAAACATGGGTGACCAGTGGACGTTAAGGCAGGGACGGACTGCGCCCTCCCTAGTAGTTGCAAGGATTTGTGGCAGATTCGGACGCCAGTACAGCTGCAGGAGCGGCATCAAATGCACGGTGTAGGCAAATTTGCTGTCCTCAAATCACTGCGCTATTTCAGGATTCTCCAATTAAGCGCGGCACCAGTTATCCACTGGAAGGCAGACAATGAAGCTGTTTTTAAAGCCGACCGCTAGTGCTATTCGCTGTAATCTAAGCCGTGGAACGAACATGGAAACCAGTCAGGCGTTCACCTAGTCTGCTGTTACCAATATCTGTTCAAAATGTTCGCGTGTTGTAGAAACTATTTTGTCGTAGTCACCGAACACGTATACTACGGATGTGTTTGAATAAAATGCCGGACATGGCCGGGCCCCACGCCAACCATCTCTCGACATGTGTGGCTAATGCACTGCGAGCAAACGCCGCATGGGTGACATTCTTTGCACGCTTAACTCCATGAATGACGAGTTGTCTAATACTGTGGTTACAGCCAGTTGCATGGCTAAAATAGCTTTGATTGCTATGGCGTTGCCTGTCCTGCGTCGCATGTCGCATCTTACTGGAATATATAAAGGGAATTTCTTAAGCGAACCAGGCTCCCGACGTTGGCAGTTGTTCAGATCATCAGGTGTCCCAGGAGCAGCAAATGACACTTACACGATCAAGCCATCCGCCGGTACGTTTACTGGTTTTCGAGATACGTAACGTAGCGTTTTCGGGATACGTAACGATACGTAACGTACCGTTTGATACAGGCTTCTTGTGAACGGTATCTGTGCTGCATATCAGTGTAACCTGGAACTGATGTCATCCAGCTTTGCGTGACTTAACCTCGGTGTCTCGGTGTGACCACTGTGTCACATCTGCTAAGGTCAGCAGTGTTTATCTGCAACATAAGCTATGGTGTAACCTCCAAGTCAAAAGTCCGTACCTGCGATATAATCCCTGTGCCTCTCAGGTCGCCAGTCGGTAGCTGTGACCTGACCTGTATCTCCTCCCTCAGGTCAGCAGTCAGTGCCAGTGACCTGACCTAAGTCTCCTTCCTTACGTCAGCAGTCTGTACCTGTGACCTGACCGTTGTTTGTATTTCCTGCCTCAGGTGAGCAGTCTGTACCTGAAACCTGATGTATCTCTTGCCTCCAGTGAACAGTCTTTGTCTGCGACCTGACCTGTATCCCCTTGCTCGGGTCAGTATTCTGCACCTTTGACCTGACCTATATCTCCTGCCTCAGGTCAGCAGTCTGCACCTGTGGTCTGATCTATGTCTCCTGCCTCAGGTCGGCAGTCTGCACCTGTGACCTTATCTGTGTCTCCCGCCTCAGGTCGGCAGTCTGCACCTGTGATCTGATCTATGTCTCCTGTATCAGGTCGGCAGTCTGCACCTGTGACGTGACTTGTACCTCCCGTCTCAGGTCGGCAGTCTGCACCTTTGACCTGACCTGTATCTCCTGCCTCATGTCGTCAGTCTGTACCTCTGACCTGACCTGTGTCTCCTGCCCCAGGTCAGTCTGTACCTGTGACCTGACCTGTGTCTCCTGCCTCAGGTCGGCAGTCTGCACCTGTGACGTGACCTGTGGCTCCCATCTCAGGTCAATAGTCTGCACCTTTGACCTGACCTGTGTCTTCTGCGTCATGTCAGCAGTCTGCACCTGTGACCTGATCTGTGTCTCCTGCCTCAGGTCGGCAGTCTGCACCCGTGACGTGACCTGTGCCTTCTGTCTCAGGTCGGCAGTCTGCACCTTTGACCTGACCTGTATCTCCTGCCTCATGTCTTTAGTCTGTACCTGTGACCTGACCTGTGCCCCCGTCTCAGGTCAGCAGCCTGTACCTATGACCTAACCTGTGCCTCCCGTCTCAGGTCGGTAGTCTGCACCTTTGACCTGACCTGTATCTCCTGCCTCAGGTCGGCAGTCTGCACCTGTGACGTGACCTGCGCCTCCTGCCTCAGGTCAGCAGCCTGTACCTGTGCCGGACTCACGCGGATGGTGGTCAGATCCGGTCATTTCCATCGATTACGCTGGTGCACCTAGACGCTACGAAGCTCGAATCGCCCATGTGCTCATCAGCCCGGAGTCAGGTAATAGCCCATGTGCTCATCAGCCCGGAGTCAGGTAATAGCCCACGTGCTCACCAGCCCGGGGTCAGGCAATAGCTCATGTGCTCACCAGCCCGGGGGCAGGTGAGAGTGGTCCCACGAGCCGAACATTTTGGTCCTGATGAACGGAGCAGGGCAGAACAACAGTGTGTGTCGGGCCAGCTGATAACGGCTCTGAAGTATGAACAGGAAGAACGGCAGCGGATGATGGCAATGGATGGCGAAAGGTACATCCGGCATACAGGGCTCATGTCGATCGAGCAAGTACGCACAAACACAGGAATTCTAAAGCAGCTCACTACTAAACGCCTCGTCGGGGCCCTGTCCGTCAGAAGAAGCGAACAGCCGTCACCTGTCACAGCGGGGGGGGGGGGGCTCTTCATGTGAGGAACTTCAGCCGACCATGGACAGATGTTTCATTCGTGTTTTCAAAACTGGCATAGGGTCGCAGAGGCCGGAATTTTGCAGTTACAGAACCGCCTAGCTGGACCTGATCTCCAGGGGATTCGCCTCGGTTTATTTATACCGGGCGGGCCGCCGACACAGGTCATCCTCAGGGTACGGACACGTTGCTCTACTTGCACCAGCTCACCGGCAGGGGCTGTTGGAAATGCAGCTGGCGTGAAGTTGTTTTGCTCGTGTAAATGCCGATAACGCTGGACGGTATGGTAGTCATTACCCTAGTGATCGTAGCGAGTGAGACACGTAGCTTCGCGTAAAAAGTGCTTCATGAATCGTTCAATCGAAAGAAGCTTTTCTCCCAGTCTTTCTTGTATCGTGAAACCCCTTCCCAGCTGCCATTCTGGTGCCCCAGTGCCTTCCATTTACTACTTCCGCCTTCTGTGTCGTATGTCTGTTGGACACACCCACTCTTGTTTTTTAGGCGCATAGTGCCTTCCAGCAAGGAGCAGCCGCCGTCATCTTCGACATAAGCAGTGCACCGGAAATGGCCAGCGAGGTGAGATGTCATAGACACTTGGCTACGCAGGTCAATGACCTGAATTAGACAGACCGCTGACACTACCAGACGGGTCACTGACCGCGGCTCGTTAGGTCAGACTGTGGTCTACATGACACTAACCCCGGTGCGGAGGGTCACTGACTTTAGGCAGACGGATCATTGACCCCAGTCCGGCAGGGTACTGTCCCAAGGACGGTTCCTTCGTGACTTTGTCAGCACATCGCCCTAATTAAAGCGGGGTCACGGCAGCATTACTTTCGTTTGGTTGTTCTGCGGGCCTGGCAGCCGGTGGTGATAGCATGCCGTCACGTTCAACATCGCCGAGAGCGCATTACATGCACGCCACCGGGCTAGGACCGGGCGCCGGCTACTCGTCGTGTTTGATGTTGCTACCAAAGCCACGGCACTGGAACTGTTCAATCGCCGTTGCGAAACTGACCGCGCCGGCCGGTGGATCAGTTCCCGGAACTGGCGGCCGTCGGCCAGGGCGGGGCGTCTGATGTGGGGGGCTTCGCCTGCCGCCGCGGCCGCCGGAGCAGCGCCTTCAGCCTGCGGCGGCCGCGCGCCTCCACAGGCGCCCGGCAGCACCAGCGCCCTGCAGGGAACCTCGATCCTTCCCGGGCACCGTTGTAGCCGCGTCAATCGATGTGAACAGCCGCCGCCGCCGGCGGTTTCCGATAAGTCGCGGCCGGGGTCATCAGCCAGCCGCTGCCCGCCGCTGCCCGCTGCAGCTGTTCACCGGGCAGCGGCAGCCGCAGCTGCCCCGGCCCGTGCTCGTCATGGCCGACCCGGACGTGCAGAGGCTGGCCGATGCCATGCGGCCCGAGGTCAACATCAGCGCCCGGGTCACGCGCAACCGGCGCCACGGTCAGCCCAGCGCGCCGGCGCCCGCCTTCACATACTTCGACATCGCGCTCTTTGTCGTGTTCTTCCTGCTCATCTGCCTGCTGAGCGGGCGTGGTGCTGTACAAGATCCGCAACCGGCGACAGCGGGTGAGTTGGCCGCCCCGGGGGCGGACCAGGGGTCGAGTCCAGCAGGGGTGGAGTCTAGCGCCGCGTGTGGCAGCGACAGATGCAGGGTGTCGGTAGGGGGCACCCCAAAGGCGAAGCTAGGGGTCGGGTTTGGCAGGGGCGGAGTGCAGGGCCGCGTGTAGCAGCGATAGATGCAGGTTGTCGATAGTGGCCACCCCAGGAGCGGACCAAGGGTCGGGTCTGGCAGAGGCAGAGTCGAGGGCCGCGTGTGGCAGCGACAAATACGGAGTGTCGGCAGTGGCAGGAGGAAAGCCGTCCGACATACACGGGGAATACGGCGTTGTAGTGAAGATGGTCTGAAATATCTGTGTGGTAGTTTTAGTACAACGTTACAGCTAAACGCTATATGTTAAGGGTACGCAATTGCAGCACCAGGGTAGTAAGTCCCGCAAAATGCTAACGATTTCCTGCTGAGACAATCAGGTAGCAGCGTTAGCCAGCGATGAACATATCGTGACGTTACATGACACACCAAAGGCTCTCGGCAAAATTGCCCACTAATCTGAATTTGCTCCACTGGAACGATGGATCGGTGCCAAAAGATAGCTAAATGACAGCCGGACGATGACCGATGGTGTCGGCGAGCACATGTGCTTGGCAAGGACAATCGACTCGAAAAATATCGCTGTAGAACATTTGATAAGATTTCATGAAAATTTTACACCATGCTGACTGTATCCACAAACCGTGTTCCTGGAAATTTTGCAGGTAAATAACCATTTAGCTTGTTAAGTAAGGTCCGTGTACGTCATCGACAACACCTCATTGGAGTCAGCTGTCCTGAAGGTGATAACCGTCAAACGGCTGCCAAAGGCGCCCTGTCCTCCATGGACCCGGTGCCCCCATGCCAGCAGGAAGGTCGTGTTTCCGCGTAGATTTGAAAGGAGTAGCGCGCTGCACTCTGAGGCATGACACCTGGGGTCGGGGTCTCCCCTTGGGGGCTGGCACGCCCGCTGCCCAGACTGCCATGACGCCGGCCAATTTGCCGGCACAAATGGCCTGGTTCGTTCTGGTTTTAGGACTAATGAATCATATTTAGGTCTCCGTGAAATAGTGTGACAAGTCATTTGGCTTTGTTTTAGTGCAATCATGTTGCCCCTTAACGTGAGTTCTGGGCCGGTAGAAAATGGCTCACATTCTTTTTAAGGTTATACCACCCTGCCACATTTAGTGCACCTAATAATGTACAGTGCACACGGCGGACTATATTGCGAACATTGGACATCCGGAGGTGGCGGCCTCCATACCACCTTAAGTGATTTTTACCTTTTGATGATTGTGGAGTAGAATGCATTCACTGCAACTCGGGCCATGTTTAAACGGGTATCATGTTTCCTTGTTAATGTGGTCAGGATAAGCATTAAATAACTAAGACCAGACAACATTATAACGAAGCAGTATTTTGCTACTCTTGGAATTTTCACCCTTGACATATGATCACTGGCTGTATAAGACAACTAACAAATCAAGCGTGGAAAAATGCAAATGAATAGCCGCAGTACTAGGAAATAACATATAAAAGTGCTTCTACCCACATAATTTCACACAAAGTTAATGATAACACATTGTGAGAAACTATCCTAAGTTCCGTGCTAATTTCTGATCCATGTAAACATATCGCAAGAAGTTAAACATAACGGCCATTTGGTGGCATGAGTAGATCGGTAACCCTCTGGTTTCCCACATGAAATGGATTTTCAAATGGGTTCCGAAAATTTAAGATTTGAGGAAAATTAAGAGGCGTTGGTATGGGTAGGACGTTCACGAAATATTGGATAGATACTTCAAACAATGCCCCGCAATGTCATTGAACTTCTTTTAGGGATAACATTGACGTACTTTAATTCATACCATTTTACAATCATTAACGCAAAAGAGTCTTGGTTTAAATCCTTTTGAAACTGGTTCACTATTTAGAACTCAAGTGTCAGTAAAATGCAAGTAGGTGCGCAACGGGTGAATATAGCTGATCAGGAATTATTAGCGGCTGGGTATGGACACACAACCCGACGCGCAGCGGCTGGGTATGGCACAGCTCCACATGTAGCGGTTGGGTATGGACACAGCCCCGCAGGTAGCGGCTGAGTATGGACACAGCCCCACAGGTAGCGGCTTGGGTTGGGTACAGGGAATCCTACACATGAATTGTGTTCGGTCGTTCATTGAGTCAATTTCTCATTCATATGACAAATCAAACATTGCGCAAGACTTTATTAGGCCTACAATATTATTTGCGCTCGGTGTAGTGTGTTTCACTGACTCCTAGTGCCATCACTGACTCCTGATACTGTCACTAGACTCCTAATGCCGTCACTGGCCTTTTGCGCCGTCACTGACCCCTAGTGCCATCAAAAGCCTCTGGTGCCACTACTGGTCCCTAGCCCATTGCCGATCCTGGTGCCGTCATCCACCCTTGGTGCCGCCACCAACCTCTCATGCTGTCACTGATCCTTGGTGCCATCACAGACCACTGGTACCATTACTGACCCCTGATAACATCTTTGATCCCTGATGCTGTCACTGGACCCTGGTGCCATCACTGAACCCTGGTGACATCACTGACCCCTGGTGCCATCACTGGCCCCTGTTGCCGTGCGTGTGCAGGACCCAGCGCTGCGGGTGGCCAAGTCGGTGCTGCACCAGATCCCGACGCGTCGGTACGGCGGCGGGGACGGCGTCGGGGGCGGGTGCCAGGCGGCGCGGCTGGGCCGATCCGGCTGCTGCTCCGGCTCCTCCCCCGAGCCTTCCGACGGCCACAAGCCGCGACTAGAGGAGCCCGAGGGCTGCACCATCTGCCTGGACGAGTATCGACCGGGCCAAGAGCTGCGCGTGCTGCCTTGTCGGCACGAGTTCCACCGCGGCTGCGTCGACCCCTGGCTGGTCAGCCGGCGCACCTGTCCACTCTGCACGTACAACATTGTCGGTGGGTGTCCACGCGTCCTCTCTCGATGTACAGCATTGTATGTGTATAGCGTATGACATCTTATAATATCGCATATCGTGTTTCACATCGTATTGTATCACGTGCGGCATCATGTATATGACATCGTATAAGGTCGCGTGACTGAACTCACGACATCACGATGGGTCAAAGCACATGGCTGACCGCTCTGTGCATTCAACCCTGTAGGCGGCAGAGAGTCCCTCTTCTTTGCATGGCTAGCGTTGGTATATTGACGGTAACGGTAATTGTCCGCTGTCTACCTGTCCATCCTCCATGGCTCCGCACACACCTTGGGTGCCTGTGGAAGGGAAGATCGGGGGTGGGGACTTTGGGACATGTCAGGGATTGTGTCAGCTGGCCATGACATGGCGTGGTGGCGGCCCGGCCATGAGTACCAGTGACTACGACCGGGGGGACTGGGGGCATATCAGGGATTGTGTTCGCTGGCCATGACGTGGCGTGGTGGCGGCCCGGCCGGGAGTACCAGTGACTACGACCGGGAGGACTGGGGGCATGTCAGGGATTGTGTCCGCTGGCCATGACATCACGGTGGCGGCCCGGCCATGAGTACCAGTGACTACGACCGGGGGGACTGGGGACATGTCAGGGATTGTGTTCGCTGGCCATGACGTGGCGTGGTGGCGGCCCGGCCGGGAGTACCAGTGACTACGACCGGGGGGACTGGGGGCATATCAGGGATTGTGTTCGCTGGCCATGACGTGGCGTGGTGGCGGCCCGGCCGGGAGTACCAGTGACTACGACCGGGGGGACTGGGGACATGTCAGGGATTGTGTCCGCTGGCCATGACATCGCGGTGGCGGCCCGGCCATGAGTACCAGTGACTACGACCGGGGGGACTGGGGCATATCAGGGATTGTGTTCGCTGGCCATGACGTGGCGTGGTGGCGGCCCGGCCGGGAGTACCAGTGACTACGACCGGGGGGACTGGGGACATGTCAGGGATTGTGTCCGCTGGCCATGACATGACGTGGTGGCGGCTCGGCCAGAAATACCAGTGTCTGCTATGAGCTGAATAGCTTTGTGATGCGCCGCAAGCTGTGAAACAAGCAGGCACTTGAGGCAGTTTGTCGTGAGGATGCACTCTTCTACGGGGAAGCCAGCTTCTAGAGAGGTCGGATCCGACCGCCTGGCCGTCGCCCGTCTTGAAGTGCCCAGTTCGTGCTGGAGGCCCGCGGGGCGCTGTCTGCTCCAGTCGGGGGAGGGCTCTGCACTCGAGACACTCCCGATTAGCCTTTAACGCTCTCGGAACTTTTGAAAGGTCGCCACCTCAAAGCGTCTCGGACAAACCGAGCCACTTTGTCGCGGCGGCATGGCGGGCCCACGCGCCGCGGCCGGTCCCGGCGCGAGCCGAGCTGTGGTCCCCGATCCGGGGTCTCACCAGGTGGGACCTCCCAGCGCTCGTGCAGGAGTCGGCGCCCCGACAGACAGCGGGCGTTGACTCCGACGGCACCGTCGACCCCCGGCGACAAGCTCCGAGTGCGAACGGTTCTCTCTCCTCTGGAGTTCAGTCGCTTCCGAGAATGTCCCTTGAACGCCCAACGTTGGAATGAAGTCAAGTTTCTGGACTCCGAGAACAGACTTACTTGAACTTCATTAGCCGATCGTAATCAGTTGGCCAAGGACGAAGAGTTCATAGATGTGACCTGCATGATGAGTTACCTTAAACCAAAGGTGGAGAATACTGATAGTTGGTGTGGAAATGCCTTTGAAGCAAACGTTTTCCGTGACAAAATCAGAATTGTGGTTGTTATCGAACAACTAGCTAATGTGCTGCCACACCTGATATGCCGTACTTTTCACCCATGCTCAAAAAGTATGCACCTTTCGCTATGTCCACAGAATTATATAGTTGGGTGGCTTTGGAAATACAATATATCACTTACAATTGCCTGCCGCGGAGAGCAAGGCATGTGAACGGATCCAGGAGGCGGATAGTGATTAACGTCTATTTTAGATTCCTCAGTGATGGTCCAAGGTTCTAAGTACTACCGCCACAAGATATGGTCATGCGTAGCTTGTCGCTGCGTAGGGTGGGACCGAAATGACCTCCCAAGACCGTACGCTTTCTTGCAAGCACGGGAGCGTTGTTGCTGGACTGTGCCGCTACAGTCCAAGTTCAAGTAGTCTCTTGTTCGCTTCTTAACCATGCTTCTCCCGCTGTGCGGTTCGAACTGCCCTGTTCTCGTGCACCTTCCCCGCTCTCTTCAGCGTGCGTTGACAGACCGGTGTCAGCTGCACCTCCGTCCAGCTGATCCTCGCTTCTGCCGACAGACCGGTGCCGAGCGTCTGACTTGTGCCCGCCGCCGCCGCCGGCCGACCGTCGCAGCCCGTCGGTGACGACGGCCCGCGTGCCGCGGCCGGCCGCGCCGCTGTACCGGCCGCCGGCCGTCTGTCGCACGCCGGAGCCGGCGCCGGCGCGCGCCGTACCGCAGTACCACGCGCTGTACCGCGACCAGTGCCTGCCGGGCGCGGCGGCCGGCCTCGTGCGCGTGCCGGCCTCACCTGCGCTGCGCGGCCGGCCCTACAGCATGTACGAGCCGGCGGAGAGCGAGCGCGGGGGCCGGCCACGCTGCCTGTACCGGCCCGGCGGCTGGACCACCCTGCGGCCGGAGGAGCGGCCCGCCGGCCGGCCGCTCTCCTACCATCGGGACGAGCGCGCCGGCCTGCCGCCGCCCGGCCGCTCCTACTCGTACCAGCCGGACGGAAGACCGTACCTGCCGGACGCTGGCCGTCAGCCCAGCTACGTCATCCTGCGCACGGTGTACCCTGAGTACGGCGCCGGCCGCCTGGAAACGTGCACGGTCATTCCGTGCCAGCGGAGGGCGCAGGCGCCGCCCGAACAGGTGAGCGAGCGCGGCGGTGATTGCCGGTCCGGAAATATTACGCCTCGGGGAGCCGGTGGCGTCTCGTTGGCCACCGCTAGAGACGACTTCAGGGACGATTGCAGGCAACGAGGCCGGAACCAGCAGCATTCCCCACCGGTGGGCGGGTGGCGCACTGTGCTCTGCGCATGTGCTGATATCGTAGCGCACAAGCATGAGACGGAATAATGACACGGAAGCCTATGCTATCCAGAAAAAGTGCGTAAATGACACCGAATGCAATGGCGTTTCTTACAATACCTCTCTGGATGCCACTGGTCGTTGCAACTGCAACTATTTGGACGTCTCTGGTTACCCAGTGACGTCACTAAGTAGCTACCACATTCAGACATTGCCAATAGTGAAATAGCACGCCATCGTGCTGTGCCCAGCGAGCCGTGAATCAGGCTTGCATAACGCTAGAAAGCTGCCGACCAAGGCGTCCTTTCCAGTCGGAACAGCCCACCTTCGACCGCCAGCCATATGGCGCTGTGGATAAATGGGACCGCGTTTTTCCACCGGCCCCTCACGGCGCCCACGCGCCACGCACGTTAGTGTTTGAGCTTGTGCTGAGAATCCGGGTACGCCGCTTCCGAAACGCGGATTCCGGGAGTCCTGAACCATGACGTCAGCGCCGGCAAGCAGATCAGATATAGCAAGAGACGTCTGTCTGTCCGTGCTGACGAGTGCTGTCTACAACCTTCTCGATCATTCCTTTGGAACGCCTACAACTCTGTACAATTACCCGCCCCTTACATTGACCCATATCCACGTCGCCCTATTGTTAATCCAGGGCGAGGGGTTTGGTGTAAGCCTGGGGTTATCACAGCGCCTACACTTGCGATTAGTTTATGTATGTAGTTATATCGTTTGCAACCGGTCCAGTTCCGTGTAGTTGGCATTACTTGAGGGTCTTCGCAACAAATGATAAAACAACCATTAAAATATCTGAAAAGCTCCAACTTAAGGCTTTTTTAAAAAATGACTGAACCGGATCTACATTTTAAGCCCATTACACACGTTCTGAAACACTGGGGGAAGGGAGGGTGAGGGTAAACTCGAGCCCTTCAAATACACAGAAAGTCAGGTCCTCGGTTTATAACCTGGGGTCGCTGACCGTAGTTTGTGGTGCTCGTAAACGGACATGTCGATACCTAATAGGCCATCCGATGAGCCAAATACTGGCTGCATAAGGTCGCAGCAGCGCCAGTTTCCACATTTCACCGCCAGTAGGGCACGGCCCGTGTGAGCAGTAACGAGGGCGACGTGCCGACATGCCTGCAGGGCCATTGTGACCCTGCTCGCACAGTCCCATTTGGCAGTGCAAGTGTGTCCATCCACACATGTGCCCACCGCAATGGGCGAGAACCAGTTCAGGGAGTGAACCACACTTCGTTGTTTCTTTCCATGTACCAAACGGGGCATAATGCTGATTGAAAAAGGTGGAGCAACCGTCCCTTCTCGTCCAGCTTTCCGGAGCTCACGCCTTTAAGTGGCGAATATGCGCGAGTCGTTGTCGTGTGGTGTCATTGATAATCAGTAAGATACTGGTGAACATGAGTGACTTGAAACTGGACGTCCTTATTTGCTCATGTTTCTTGCAATGTAAGGGGTGGGCGTCGTTAGAAAGCGCAGGTTCGAAAATACCGGCAGAACTACCGGTTTATCAGGGAGGTAGACATAGACTTCATCTTTGGGGAAAATGATAACTTTCGGTCAGCTTTGCAGATTTTAACAGCTACGACCGTGGGCTTGGCATGATTTGGAACGCATCAGAAGCCTTCCGCGTAGCCCGCTCCCCAGCTTTTGACCCGTTGTGGAGGTTCTGGACGCGGGAGTGTCTCGAAATGTGCGCAGGTCGAGCCATCGGCCTCGCTACGTGACACACTCACAAAGAGACGTAGAGCGCGGCCCAATCGATCCTGCTTCAACTTCTAAGCAACGAATGCTTTAATATACATGCCTACATGAATGCTCACTTCATTATATGCCCAGTAATGTTTTCGGATAACCCTGGATCGCATGCCCCTTGGGTACCAGATTACCCAGATGACAGAAAAGCGGCATTCTGAACAAGCTGCATTGTTATTACAGCCACATCTTGAAAAACGAACTTTGACCCCTGCTTTTGACAATCTGTGATTTGTGACCTACATTACATGGACCAGCACGACCTTGCCACTTGTGGCTTAGGGCCTGCACAATTTCTGAGAAATGTGACCTCCGACATCTGCAGCCTCTGACGGTGACTGCTGACCTGTATAGTCTCTAGTCAAACTGTGCAACCCCGTCTGATCTCTGGACTTCCTCACCGATTTCGCTCCTGTCACGCGGCCTGACCCGTATGAGCGCTGACCTGTGCAGCCCCTAACGTCTGGCTCCTGACCTGAGTGACCTCTGACCATGCGAAGCCCGCGTGACCTGACCGCGGCCCGCCCCGGCAGGACGTGTGTGGCGGCCGGCGCTGGTGCACTACGGCCGGGAGCCGCGGCCGCCCTCCTGGCAGGCGTCGGACACGGACTCGGACGACCTGGAGGTGCGCTCCATCACGGGGTCACGACCCGAGTACGGCGCCGCCGGCTACAGCAGCGCCAGCGGCGACGACGAGCCCGACCAGAAGTGGACCGTGGTGTGAGACGAGGACGAGCCCGAGCGGACCGTGGTGTGAGACGAGGACGAGCCCGAGCGGACAGTGGTGTGAGACGAGGACGAGCCCGAGCGGACAGTGGTGTGAGACGAGGACGAGCCCAACTGGAAGTGGACCGTGATGTCAGACTAGGACGAGCCTGACTGCAAGAGAGCCGTAGTGTGAAACGAGGACGACGAGATGGGCCAGAAGAAGACGGTAGCATGGGATGAGATTGACGCCATCGGCCTCAAGAGGACAGTCGCGTGAGAGGACGACGGCATCGGCTGCAAGAGAAACTTGGCGTGGGACGACACATGGGCTCGGCGCGGGAACTGAGCGCACCGCTGTGATACAGATAAACTATATCAAAATGGGGTATGGACGGTGCGGTAGGGCAGGACCGGGCGTGGTGACCGTGCGCCGGCCTGCCCAGCATCGTCTGAAGCGCGCGTGTGGACGGGTCTCGGCTCACGAGACGGCATCTCGGCTCAGGTCACGGAATCTCGGCACAGACGCACCTCGCACGGACGCCCAACACCCGTGCCACACCGGGGGCGTCACAGCGAGCGCCGAGCAGTGCGGTCTCATCGCCAGAGGACCCGTCCGCCGCCCAGACCTGGTCCGGGAGCCGCCCGTCCGCCCGCTGGCTCAACACCCGCCGGGCCGCTGAAGGAAACGTCACGCGCGGCGATAGATCGGCCCGGAGGGACGAGGCGCCTCTGGAGCGCCGCCGCCGCTGCCACGCACCAGGTCAAGGTCGCGTGCTTCCCGGGGCCGCCGCGGCGCAGTGGCCGGCGGTGCGGAATGCCTGGGCCGGCCGTGCGGCGTCAGGGACGGGCCGCGTCGGTCGCCGCGGTCACAGTCTTTCAGTCTGAGGTGCCTCAACAGCGGAGGGGCGACGGCCCGCCGCCCGCACCCGCCGCGGGTAGTCCGCGTGGGGCCGCTTGTGCCGCGCGCACACGGGGTCCACTATGGACAATCCACGTGCGGCTGTCCGTAGCGAAGGCACTCAAAGCATAATGTAGCTGATGCGGTTATGCGGGCTGTGTACTGTAGTGTGGTGCTATAGGGTCGGGGACAGATATTGCCAATGGAAGGCGCTGATGGGAAAATGCATGGCGTAGAAATTCGCGCACGGCACGGCTTACGCGACGGGGACGCAACGTAGTATGTAGCATTCGCACAGCTCTAGACTTCGGTTCATGGAGCAAAATATTCTTCCAGGAAAACGGCTACAGAGAACTGCTCGCGAGATTCAACTCAACGCATCTTCGAATGTCAAGATGGTTGCTTGTTGATGTAAACGTTGTGGTTATGTTTGGATAGCTTTCCCAGACCGCACAGATCTCCGCAGTAAACAATGATCTGATTAAATTACATCCCACGTAGCCCGCTAACAATTAACAGGTCACTCGTGTTTTCTTGCAGTTAACATATATTAAACATCTCCACCATCCCAGAACAGCCAATGATTTCAAATTGCTGAGCTTAAAACAGAGCCGAACGGGGCTCGGGGCTCTGCCACTGACTCAGCGGTGGCGTGACAATGCCCCAGACCCGTCTGAGTCAGCGACGAGTCAATGCCCCAATGAGTCAGCGACGCAAACCATTAGTGGCGGATAAGAACGAGCCGGTGGAGCGGAGCCCCCTTTCGAAAGGTGATAGTTAAGCCATTGATCCTCCGAGCAGCGTTGGCACTCGCGCGGACTCAGTCCGCCCCGTTTCCGTCAGAGGCCATCACATAAGAGCGTCCCTGATAGCTTCATCGCCGGGGGAGAAAATGGGCAATGCTTTCGCTATGACGCAGTGGCTGGCAATAGCTTGAACAGGTCACAAATGACCCTCCGCCATGCTAATTATAAGACGCGATATTTGCAATGACATTTGTTTTCGCCAAACGCTTTAAATACGCGGACCACGCGACTTTGTATGCGGGCGCTTTCCCCTGCGAACCCTGGGCTTACGCGGCCACAGACCTCGCCGTTTCCTGATCTGGAAACGGCGCTGGTTTGAACCAGCCACGACTCCTACCACTCATTCGGTGAATAAACGTACAGTTAGACATCCTTCGGACACTGCCGGCATCTCTCGCACCTTCCTTCATCGCGCAAACAGCTCTGGTACCAGGGCACATCCAACCCTTCGACTTAAGCTGAAAGCCGTACGAGCCTTGCGTGACACAAGCCGCATGGCTAGCTGCGAACATCCCCCGACGCGCCGCTAAGCTCGCGAGGACGTTGGCGCTTCCCCAGCCCGTCCGTTTCCGATCCTTCCCTTCCCCCTTCCGTCGACGGCCAGCCGGCCGGCTGGGGGTGTTCGCGAGCGGGCATTCCAGGTTGGTGCGGGCACGGGAACGGTGGGGCGTCGTCCTGCCACCGCTGGCACCGTCACCAGCTCCCAAGCCTCGGCGAGCGCGGCCGCGTGCCCGGCAGAGGGTCCTTCCCTTACCTCGGCAGGCGCAGCCGCGTGCCCGGTAGTGGGTCTTTCTCTCACCTCGGTGGACACGGCCGCTGGCATCGTCACCAGCTCCCTCGCCCCGGCAGGTGCATTCATGTGGCGGCAATGAGTCCCTCCCAGCCGCGTCAGGTACGAACGCGTACCGGTGATGGGTCCCTACCGAGTCACAGCAGGTACGGGTGCGTAAAAGCAGTGGGTCCTTCCATTGCCACGGCAGGCACGGGCACGTGCCGGTGATGGGTCCCTCCCTTGCCACGGCAGGTACGGGCGCGTGCCGGTGGTGGGTCCGTCACCAGCCGGTGGCCGCCATCGATCGCCGCTGACGAATCAGAGCCCCACTGTCTCCGGTCGGTCGGCCAGTCGCCCGACGCACGCGCTCCCGGCCGCCAGCTCAGCCGCCCCACCCACGCCCCCAACCCCAGATCAAAGATCGCCGCCGTCGCAGTATCGTCCCATATGAGATATCTCTCCACCAACGGAATATTTTTGAACGAGAGTTGGGGTTTCGGCGGCTACAATTTGACAGTCCCGACCCTGCGAAGCAGCCAGCTTTAATATGTGCTCGTAATTTGTTAAGTGACTGTGTGACGTTGATACCTTCGCGTATGGCGGATAATGGACTACAGATGACTGTAAGGGACACAGATCTATTAACCAGGCGGAACGGTGTGCAGCTAACGGACATACAAAAGCATCTAATCTGAGGAGGCTTTTACTATTTTGAGTGAGCTGCGACGGAATAATGGCTACATTGTGTGCACGATCGGACACGCCACTCAGTGTGCTGCAGAACCCAAGAGGCGAATGTATTCGTTTCATTTCCTGTAAGACGTGCATCTGTTTTGATTCCCCGAGCCCAGCAATCCCACCGCACCGTGGCAGCAGCCAGCTAACAATAGCTGCACGCGATGCTCGCGATGTTACGGCCACGGGTGATGAAACTTATCAGCTTTCGAAGCAGAAGAGTTATCTCAGGTGTCGCGCCTCTCTGGAAGCAAAGTCATATCTGCTGTTTGTTGTAAAGATGCCCAATGGCAATTAACACAGAATACGAGTACTAACAAATATATGCACAGTGGTGTCGCTTACAATTCGGTCGACGACTACGATGTTAGCCCGATGATTACATGACAGAGCGCGTCCGCTGACTGAGCTGCAGTGGCCTCTGCCACCCAGCAATTCTATGCGCTTGGTAACGTCTGCTACGCCACCACCCACGTCTTGCCAGCAGTGCAGACGCAGTACAAAACAGCTCCGTTATCCGTACAGTCCGGCTAAAGCAGATCCCGGCCGTGCCGCCAGCGCCGCACCGCCAGACACGGCCAGGGGTGCCCGATTGTCGAGAGCGTCCGAGCAACGCTGGCTCGGAGCCACGTCTAACCCCTCCCTCTGTCCCCCTCTCCCCCCCCCCCCCCCCACCACCTACCAGCTTCACTCGCTAGATGTATGCCACGCTTCCAGCGAGAGCGCCAAGCCCTCAAGCCGGTACATCCGTGACTCGATCTGGCGATGTGAAACGTGTATTGCGCAACAAATACAGCTCAGAACATCGTCCGTCTCGGCTGCATGAGCAGCGCCGCCAGCACGGCGGAGGCCGGCCACCTCAGGCCCAGCTCCCGGGTGTCACCGGCCGCCGGCCCTGACCGTGGTCCGGTCGGTGGTGGCGCGGCCCGGCGCCGCTGGCGTGCCAGACGTGTATAAATAGCGGCCCGGCCGGGCGGCAGCTCGCCACCGCCACCGTCGGCCCGCTATCGCCGCCATCTGGGGGCCCCAGGTCACGTGTCAGCCGGCGCGGGGTCGACGGCGAGGTCACCGCCTGCGGGCCGCCGGCGGCGGAGCCGCGCGCGCGCGCGCGCGCCGCGGCGTCCGCCCGCCTCCACTGCCCGCCGGCGTCCGGTAACAAAGGCGGCACACGCCGAGTCGGCGCACCACGCCGCCAAAATCGATCACCACCGACCGGCCTTGAAGGTCGGCCGAAACCAATCCACTCCCGGCTGGCGACAATGCAAATCCGGCGGCCCGGATCAACAGCGCCAGGCTCGGTCGCCTCCCCCCCCCCCTCGACACTCCGACGGCAGTTTGGCCTTCCCCCCCCCCCCCCTCCATCGACACTCCGACGGCAGCAGTTCGGCCAGCCCCCTCCCCTCGTCACTCTCCGACGACAGCCTTGCCTGCGCCCCCCACCCCCCTGTCGACACTCCGACGACAGCTTGGCCTACCCCCCCTCCCCCCCGACACTCCGACAGCAGCTTGGCCTGCCGCCGCCCCCGACACTCCGACAGCAGTTTGGCCAGCCCCCCCCCCCCCCTCGCCACTCTCCGACAGCAGCTCAGTTAGCCTCCCTCCACCCAGCCCTCTCCGATGACAGCAGTCTTGGTCAGACACCTCCCGGCACTCCCACGACAGCAGCCCCCCTAGTGAGACCCTCTACGGCACTCTCCGACGACAGCAGCCGCGCCGCCCGCCCGCCGCGGCGCGACTCACATCCGCAGCAGCTTGTCCTTGCCGCCGCTGACCACGCGCTGGCCGTCGGGGGACCAGTCGACGGCGAACACCTCGTCCGCGTGGCCGGGCAGGTCCAGCTGCAGCTTGCGGCTCCTCATCGACCACACTGGGGACAGACGCGGCCAGGCGTGAGCCGCCGGCCGGACGGCCACAGCTGGGCCGGCGGCGGCGCTGGTGCCCGGTCGTCCGCGCCGAACGCCGGCCGCCCGCGCGCGCGCGCCACCGACGCGTTGGCGAGCGGGGACGCAACCGGAGGAAGGGGAGGAGGCGGGGGAGCATAGTGAAGACATGCCAGCACGGACGAACGGAGGCGTGGGCGCACACGGCGCGGCAGTGCACTCAGACTTCTCACAAAGGGCGAAGAAGCAACGAAACAGGAGGTCCAACACAACGAACGACGCTAGAAAAGGCAGCCGGACGAAAACACAAAAAAGCTTACAAAAAGTACCAGCCATGCTTTTGTAAGAAGCAACCAGCACAAACAGTAGCAAACAACGGCAATGAAGAGCATTATTTCAACCCTTGCACATCCATCGATCACGAGGCGTCTCGTTATGGGCGGCCGAGCGTGAGGCCGGGCGGCGGAATAGTCGGCTCCTGACCCGGGCGTACACACCACAAAGGTGCCGCCGCCCACCTTGAGCGTGGAGTCGGCGCTGCCGCTGACCAGCAGGCGGGAGTCGGCCGACCAGGCCACCATGTACACGGCCTGCACGTGGCCGCGCAGCGCCGCCACGAACCTGCCGAGCGCGCGTGTCATACAGGCGTCAGACGACGCTGATGGGCGAGCCGGCCGTGGGGCGGGGGCCACATCACGGCATCGGGCTGGGGCAACAGCACGGCATCGGACTGGGGCTGGGACCCACGGCACCGGGCTGGAGCGGGGGGCCCACGGCACTGGGCTGGGGTGCGGGGCCACACCACGGTGCCGGGCTGGGGTGGGGGCCACACCACGGCACCGGGCTGGAGCGGCGCCACACCACGGCACCGGGCTGGGGTGGGGGCCGACAACGGCACCGGGCTGGAGCCGACAGGCAACACACTCCGCCTACAGCCGTTTACACTGTGTACCTAGCTGGCTCGCTGTTTTACTTCTTTATCTTTACGACTGCGTCCCCACACATTGCACAATTGGCTAAAAACTAGATAACATATTTTTTACAAAGTATTTGGATAGCTCATAGAGCTGACCCGGCATCATTACATTGATCATTTCGAGATTGGCTGTCACGTGCTCGGGTGGGGGATCAAACTGCCCCCCCCCCTCCCCCCCTGAAGGTTTATCCAGAATGGTGGTCGATCGGCAGGGCGTAGCGGCGCCAAATTTTTCATAGCTGTGGGAAATTGAAAAGCGGATCGTTTGGTGTCAAAAATTTAGATGAACCTTGTAAGGTCACTGACCTACGGCCGGTCAAGGTCAGGCCATGTATTCAGCGAAGTCAATTTCTAGGGAATCGTTAAATCTCATGCTACAGCGGAGTGTTAGACGAAGCCATACATCTCTGAGATACTTTCTTAGGGCAACATAACAGTTAAATGAACAAATTAGATTGACCTAGAGTCAGGTACGAAAGGTCCGGCCAAGGTAAAAAACAACCTGTTTTATTACTCTATGGCTTGCTGTGCGAGGTAGTTTCTGGTACTCACTTCGAATTTATTGATAACTGTGACTGCATTATACTTCTTCCATGGATTTCTTTACGGTCAGAATAGGGCACTGACCTAAAATGACCCGGTCAAAATTTTGTTTTATTGAACATACTGCCTAGAGTACTCTTTGTCACTTATTCAAATGCAAAACCCAAACGGTCCTGTATGATTTTGGGCACCATGACCTCCAAAGGTCAAAGAAGGTATATAACCTTAAATGACAATGTCACCTTTTGCTTAGAACGGGTGTTTAGGTTCCGCGGGTACTTTGGAAACCAACCCGGACTTTGACATTGCTTCAACTTATTTGGCCTGAACGTCCCGACCTAAGAACTTCAAATTTTCGCCTAAGTGGGCTCACGTACAGGGCAACACACCCTGTAAATTTAGAGTGTCTAGCTTTCTTAGTGCCTGAGATCTCGGGGGGGGGGGAGCAAATTAACCCACTCACCCACCCGAGCGCAGGGTATCCAACCGGCCACTCTGGCGAGTGTTAACAATGTACCGGTAATGCTAATTTTCTTCGACATCGATCTATTCACCCCTGAGAAAATGGATCAGTGTGGTTTCTGAAGCTAATTCCAGACCTGATAATTTGCCGGAAGCCGAGGAATTACGGCTTCAACAGCTTTCGAAAGTCCTCATAATAGGCATATCTTTGGTGGACCGCACACAGACACGCGAACACGGCTATTGCAAGAAACGACGTTTTTAGATACCGAAGTCCAAAACATATTCCTGGCACGACGTCTATTATCTGATGCCATTTTGATGGCGAGCTCTTTTGACCTCGGGTAATCTCAGGCGACGGGACACACCAAGATCTCTGCCAGTTCAAAAGTACTGCAACCCATGTCCGTAAGGCATGCCTGTAATAACCTCCCGGGATTGGTGTGGGGCAAGACACTTGCGAGCTGACAGTGTACGAACTAGAAGCCATCTGTTAAGCAGGCGCGTCGACCGGCGAGGGAAACGGAAGCAAACAAACAAGCACCGCCTTACGAACACATCAAGTGCGCCACATTTTCCATCAGTTGGACCGCCGCGGCATAGGACGGTCGCGCCGTTTGTCTCCGCCTCGCTGTCGAGCGGCGTGCTCCGCCACAAATGGCCCTGGAGCGATCGGCTGGCCGCTGCACAGTGCCTTGTCAGGGAGAGGTCCTTGGAAGTGTACTGGCGTACGCCCGGCGGCCATGGCGCCGGTGCGACCGGGCCACCTTTACAGCTAGGTGCCAACCACTTCCACGAAGTGCAGTTTGTTTTAATTTGCATTTTGATTTGACAAGCTGTGGTTATTCACTTCTGGGATGATATACGCGTTCCCCTCCAATGGTTATATGTGACGGTAGACCTTGTAACCCGAGGTCACCGATGGCCAGAGTGCACGTCAGAACTCCGTCAAAGGACTGGGACTATTCCAGGAGCATATCTTTAGTACATGCGGGTTCAAAAATGTGTGGTTTCTCGTAGTTATCATGTGTTCGTATTTCGACAAGGTCTGCAAAAAGAAGCGTCGATCCTGAGACTGCTTCAAATCGTTGGAATTTCAAGCCATAAGCCATTGCTATAGTCGAGCTCAAATGTTCGGCTCGCAAAGACATTTTCCGTCAATTCGGCCTTGCACTCAATTGACTTCTGAGGGCGAAAATACACCCCCCAAGGAATAGGTGGAAAATCGCAGATTTGCCCACGTAAGAACTTACGAACTCGATTCACATATGACGACCCTTGCACCCGTACTCATTAGCAAAATATAAGTGGAGGGGGGGGGGGGGACACACTCCCAACAATTTGAACATTCCCTCATAACGAACAACCCGCATGGAAAGCGAGCCTAGTCACGTAATTACCACCCGTTCGTGCATATTTTACATTCACGTTTTAGTGTATCCCACGCACACCAATCACAGATAACACACTATACATACCACACAGTTTGGCTGTAGAACGCCTCTCTCCTTTCGACACATCGCGGTACGTCAACCCAGTCGTCAGTGAATGACACCTGTATCAGGTGCGAGATATACACCCAGCGGCTGTGGTGGGTCACGTCCCTCCGTCAGTCAGACAGGCCCAAAGACACGGCCCGGCGGCTGTGGTGGGTCACGTCCCTCCGTCAGTCAGACAGGCCCAAAGACACGCCCGGCGGCTGTGGTGGGTCACGTCCCTCCGTCAGTCAGGCAGGACAGGTCCAGAGACACGCCCGGCGGCTGTGGTGGGTCACGTCCCTCCGTCAGTCAGTCAGACAGGACAGGTCCAGAGACCACATCCGGCGGCTGTGGTGGGTCACGTCCCTCCGTCAGTCAGACAGGTCAGGTCCAGAGACACCCGACGGCTGTGGTGGGTCACATCCCTCCGTCAGTCAGACAGGACAGGTCCAGAGACACACCCGACGGCTGTGGTGGGTCACGTCCCTCCGTCAGTCAGACAGGACAGGTCCAGAGACACGCCCGGCGGCTGTGGTGGGTTACATCCCTCCGTCAGTCAGACAGGACAGGTCCAGAGACACACCCGGCGGCTGTGGTGGGTCACGTCCCTCCGTCAGTCAGACAGACAGGTCCAGAGACACGCCCGGCGGCTGTGGTGGGTCACGTCCCTCCGTCAGTCAGACAGGACAGGTCCAGAGACACGCCCGGCGGCTGTGGTGGGTCACATCCCTCCGTCAGTCAGGCAGGACAGGTCCAGAGACACACCCGACGGCTGTGGTGGGTCACGTCCCTCCGTCCGTCAGTCAGACAGGCCCAAAGACACACCCGGCGGGCTGTGGTGGGTCACATCCCTCCGTCAGTCAGCAGGACAGGTCCAGAGACCACACCCGGCGGCTGTGGTGGGTACATCCCTCCGTCAGTCAGACAGGACAGGTCCAGAGACACGCCCCGGCGGCCTGTGGTGGGTCACGTCCCTCCGTCAGTCAGACAGGCCCAAAGGACACGCCCGGCGGCTGTGGTGGGTCACGTTCCTCCGTCAGTCAGACAGGACAGGTCCAGAGACACACCCGGCGGCTGTGGTGGGTTACATCCCTCCGTCAGTCAGACAGGACAGGTCCAGAGACCACACCCGGCGGCTGTGGTGGGTTACATCCCTCCGTCAGTCAGACAGGACAGGTCCAGAGACACACCCGGCGGCTGTGGTGGGTTACATCCCTCCGTCAGTCAGACAGGACAGGTCCAGAGACACACCCGGCGGCTGTGGTGGGTCACATCTCTCCGTCAGTCAGACAGGTCCAGAGCACACCCGGCGGCTGTGGTGGGTGTACATCCCTCCGTCAGTCCAGACAGGACAGGTCCAGAGACACACCCGGCGGCTGTGGTGGGTCACATCCCTCCGTCAGTCAGGCAGGACAGGTCCAGAGACACGCCCGGCGGCTGTGGGTGGTTACATCCATCCGTCAGTCAGACAGGACATGTCCAGAGACACACCCGGCGGCTGTGGTGGGTCACATCCCTCCGTCAGTCAGGCATGACAGGTCCAGAGACACGCCGGCGGCTGTGGTGGGTTACATCCCTCCTCAGTCAGACAGGACAGGTCCAGAGACACACCCGGCGTCTGTGGTGGGTCACGTCCCTCCGTCAGTCAGACAGGACAGGTCCAGAGACACGCCCGGCGGCTGTGGTGGGTCACATCCCTTCGCCAGTCAGGCAAGCGCGGGCAATGCCACCGCCGCGGGGAGTCGGACACTATGCAATACGGACCGTAACCCACGGCGACCGGCTATTCCCAACACCAGCCGTGCCACAGTCTGACCTAGATGAATGGCACAACTAGCAGACGGGAGCCGCTGCTTCATACGAGGCCGGACGCCCGCCGCCGATGTTTGTGTTCTCAGGTGCTCGGCCAATTAATGAGTGATCACGGCGGCGGCTCGGCAGGCGGCGGCGGGGCCCAGATCTGCACCTCGCGCCGCCGCCGCGCCAACAGTAACACCGGGCGCTGTCAGAGCCCGCCGCCCCGACGCGGCGGTATGCGCCGCCGCCAGCACCGAGCCACCCGCCGACCATTAGCCGTCCATAGCTGCCGAGTCAGGTCGTCAGGCGCGCGAGAGCTCGTGAGCCCCTGTCAGAGACAGCAGCGGAACTGATAACCTGTCATCTGCCATGATATTTCGCGGAGATTTTGTCTCGCGGCAGCGGCCAGCCGGGCACCAGCAGCTTGCCTTGAGGCGTCGGCCAAAACTTCGTCAGGAGGGCTCTGAATGAATGAGGATGTCTTGGTGATCGGGACGTATTGATGTCTGCAATCAATATCAATCAATCCCTACTCAACTGAGAACAGTGTTATCAGCGTGTATGTGTGTGTGTGAGGGGGGGGGGCTCTTTGATCTTGTATGGGCGTGCGTTCAATAGTAGGCAGTGGTGCATACCTATCGATATTCGACAGCTGACGGCAGGCAATGGAAGGCGCCAGACAGGCGACATTTGCGTTGACACATGGCGGAGTTTGTGGCCAACCGGCTGGGTCCCGTCAGGTCAGGTCAGCGGGGTCGACTGGCGACTTGTGACCGGCCGGGTCAGCGCAACGGGGCCGACCGGCGACTTGTGACCGATCGGGCCAAGTCAGTGAGGGCGACTGGCGACTTGTGACCGGCCAGGTCAGGTCAGCGGGGCCGACCGGCGACTTGTGACCGCCGAGCGGGGTCAGCGGGGCCGACTGGCGACTTATGACCGGCCGGGTCAGGTCAGCGGGACCGACCGGCGACTTGTGACCGGCCGGGTCAGGTCAGCGGGGCCGACTGGCGGCTTGTGACCGGCCAGGTCAGGTTAGCGGAACCGACTGGCGACTTGTGACCGGCCAGGTCAGGTCAGCGAGGCCAACTAGCGACTTGTGACCGGCCGGGCGGGGTCAGCGAGGCCAACTGGCGACTTGTGACCGGCCGGGTCAGGTCCAGCGCAGCCGGGGCGGGCCGCCGGTGGCGGCGCCGGCTCTTCTGCCCCCTGTCCTGCCACTTGGCGTACAGCCGGTCACCACCACACGGTCCTGGCCTCTGTACTCACGATCCAGGCCCGTCGGATGGCAACTCCAGACCGGAGACTTGTGACCCGGCACTCGTCAAACCACCTCCGCGCCGCAATGGTGAAGAATGCCACTTTTTCGGCCCAGGAAAGAGGGCGGATGTCCGTACACATCCATCGCACCAGCGGCGGAGTTCACAACGGCTCAGCTCCCGCACTTAAGCAATGCATGCATGGGAGGTAATACCGACACCTGGCTCACTAGACGGCCCTCAACGACTGTGCCGGACAACTACGCACGCCTACCACAGAGACGCCAGGCGCCGTTGATTCGGCGCCAACCTTGTCATGGGTGGGATGGGGTTAGGGTGGGGAGCAACCCTCCCCTCTAGACACTGAGGGATGAAGGATTGCTACCCCTTCCAACGCACGTGGGTGGCCTTATCTTGACGGCAGGCTACTGCTGCCTGACAAGAGGCTGCCTTCCTCCGGTCCGGTGCTCCAAGCACACATCTTGGGGCTCCATACAAACTGTATCTTATGCCAGAGCGGCACAAGACACACCGGGCAGGCAAAGCTTCAACAAGGCAGCAAACCTGGGTCAGAAGACGCCCTGTTGGTCGCACCATTGCCAGACAGCCCGGCCACAGTATGCCGTCAAGCACTCACTTTCCCGTCTTGCCCTCCCAGAGGCGTATCGATTTGTCGAACGAGGCGGAAGCGATGAGCCGGGCATCCGGCGAGAAGCGGACGTCGTTGATCAGCTGTTGGTGGCCGGTCATCCGCGCTGCCGACAGACGGCGTGACCTCACCACGCGGCGCGGGACGGGCCGCGGCGGGCAGGACGACGCCACAAGCCGTGGGACACTCGGCGCCACCGTGCGTACCCGGACTCAAACACATTTACCACGCGCGCTGCGTGATGCACAGGACATGTGTAAGGAATGTCAGATTGTCCCTGACTGCACTGACTTAATTTCTTACTCTTCAAGGTGCGAAAGAAACCGTACCAGTCGCGAACATGTCTGCTGTTTCATTACATACGAACTGTGTGACGCTGCCTCACTAACGTGTAGCGTCCACGCGTGCGTTGTGTTCCGCACGACCGCACGCTTCGACTATCCTGATACGGCCATGTGCACCATAACTCATCTCCTGGTTATGATTGATGATGGATCCACTCACCCAGAGGCTTAGTGCCCTTCACTGGATTCCAGAGGAACATGGTGAAGTCGTCACTGCCCGATACCAGTCTCTCCTCGCCACCGCTAGATGCCAGTAACGTCGCGTACCGCTTCTTGGCGGCTGCCAACTTCTCATCGTCTGTAAAACATGCATTCATTCAACGAGCGTATACTCGCTGGTCCTCTCCCATAGCAGAAAGACGTTTGCATAAGCGATGAACGTCGATACGGCGACGGCAAGCAGTCAGCTGATGCGGAAGCACGCGTAAGTAGTACCTGTGCGTTTGTCCGCTAGATGTCCGACGTCGCCGCTGGCCGGGTCATACGCTCCCGTCCGCATGACGTAGTCTGTGCTCAGCGCCAGCGTGTTGACCCAGTGACCGTGGCCTTGCAGTGCCCGGCACATGGCTCCCTGCAGCATGGAGCACATACTAGCCATCACGAGCCGCTATACGATGTGATGGGTATTTCAATCAGATGCAATCCTTGAAACAAATATGACTGTTTGGATTCTGATGGGCACTCCTACAGCAGTCATCTTGCGCATCTTGAGTGAAGCCTTTTGACGCTGCAAGCAAAGTTACACGTTGTGGGAAGTCTTAAACGAACCAGTGCACCAAAACATGTGTTTGTACACTATGACATGTGTTTTTTGATCGCATGTTCCTACAAAAGCCTCCGCTTCATCTCAGTTATTAGTGCGCTTTCACTGCTACACAGAACCAGCGCCGCTCAGCCACGGAGACTCACGTCGGTGGCGGCCCACACTCGTACACTGCGGTCTTGGGAGCCGCTGTAGAGGAGGTCGGCGCCGCCCCAGCGCAGGCACGTCACCGACTGCCGGTGCCCCGTCAGTACGCGCAGGCACCGCTGCAGCTGGGCGTCCCACACGCGGACGTCACCGTCCTTCGAGCTGGACGCCAGCAGTCGAGACTGACCCGACTCGGAGCTGAAACACGGCCAGATACGTCAGACGTGTGACCGGGTTCGGTGCTGAAGCACGACCCGATACGTCAGCCGCGTGACCGGGCTCGGTGCTGAAGCACGGCCCGATACGTCAGCCGTGTAACCGGGTCCGGTGCTGAAGCATGGCCCGATACATCAGGCGTGTGACCGGGCTCGGAGCTGAAACACGGTCTGACACATTGCCGTCTGCAGCCCGATACGATGCGACAGTTGACAATCGCGGCCCAGCGACACAATAGGCGTTCACAGAGGATACTGTAAAAGACGGACTTTCTACGGTTTCAGTTCAATCGACACACAGGCAAGGGACGTCAGGTGAAGACAGACAACAGCACCTGTGCAAGGGCTGCCAGCAGATGTGTGTGATCCACTGTTTGTGTCCGGTTAGCGGTTTGCCCTCCTGCTTGCCGGAGACCGGTTCCCAGAGGCGGACCTCGCCCGACTTGCAGCCGGAAGCGAGCAGGCGGCAGTCGGGGCGACCAGGCGATGCAGAGCACCCAGTGACGGTGACCTGCGGCCGGCCACACGACGGTCGGTCAGGCGGCGCCCAGTCACGGTGGCCCGGCAGGGGCACTGCTGAGGCCGGACAAACCCCAACCATGCAATAGTGACCGTTGTTGACGTCCGGACGACGTGGATTGGTCTCACGGTGTGAAATAAACAAGCACGGTATATCCCGAAACGTGCCACGCTAAACAAACGCTCATGGGAACGACTGGTATACAGCCCCACTTTGCTGAACAGGTCGCACGTCAGCCCGCGTTTCGTTCCGTGCAGGCTGCCACTGCTCGCTGCCATCAGACAGCCAGACCACTCCTAGCAACAACCGCTCGGTCGCGACCCGGCTCGGGCCGCCACTCACTGACCGGGATGACGTCACTCACGGACTGGGTGGCGTCACACCGAGGGACGACTGACCGGTTGCATGTGTGCTGGGGCGTTTCTGTGCTGACGTCCAGAACCGGACCGTCTTGTCCCCGGAGCCGCTGGCCAGGGAGCGGCCGTCGGGCGAAAAGCTGGCCGAGATGACCGGTTCGGCGTGGCCGGGGATCGAGCTGCCGGACACGGACCAGAGACCGCTCAGAGCCGGCGTACCGGCTCGGGGAGGGGGAGGGAGAGGGTGGTTCCTCGTGACCAGACCGACTCGGCGTGGCCAGGGATCGAGCTGCCGGACACGGACCAGAGACCGCTCAGAGCCGGCGTACCGGCTCGGGGAGGGGGAGGGAGAGGGTGGTTCATCGTGACCAGACCGGCTCGGCGTGGCCGGGATCGAGCTGCCGCACACGGACCAAAGATCGCTCAGAGCCGGCGCACCGGCTCGGGGAGGGGGGAGGGAGCGGGTGGTTCATCGTGACCAGACCGGCTCGGCGTAGCCGGGGATCGAGCTGCCGCACACGGACCAAAGATCGCTCAGGAGCCGGCGCACCGGCTCGGGGAGGGGGAGGGAGCGGGTGGCTCATCGTGACCAGACCCGGCTCGGCGTAGCTGGGGATTGAGCTGCCGCACACGGACCAAAGATCGCTCAGAGCCGGCGCACCGGCTTCGGGTGAGGGGGATGGGGGAGGAGAGCGGGTGGTTCATCGTGACCAGACCGGCTCGGCGTGGCCGGAGATCGAGCTGCCGCATACGAACCAGAGGCCGCTCAGAGCCGGCGCACCGGCTCGGGCAGGCATCGTGACCAGACACAGACGCTCAGAACCGGCACACCGACTCAGCGGCACACGGCGGACACAGGGCCGATACACCAGCTCCCAGAGACGCAGTTATACACGGTCGTACGCCACTGAAGCCGGCACGCGTAACGAGTCCCCAGAGGCAGACATGTCGTCTGGGTCTCAGTGAAGCAGGCTATCGAACAGCTCGAGTTCACTCTTGCTGATGTGACATCAGATGCTAGCAGAACATGCAAGCCCAGTACCGGGTGTGCATTGGAGCTTGACAAGGAATGACAGGTTTGACGACTTAAGTAAAATACATACATAATAATGTACTTCTCACACCATTTTGTGTTGAAGTGGTGATTTAACGATGTATCAAGATGCATTGGCCGCAGTTAAAAAATAATCGACATCATGTTCACCGACAAGCTGGTGCTACATGTCTTTAAATTGTTTGGAAATTTGTTGACTCCCTCATGACATACAATTGCTTCAATTTTTTTTGCTTCAAAATGCTTCATTAAATTGTTCGCGTCTGCGTCTAACAGCCATCCAGCCACGTATGCTTCACGCCGTGAGATATGTCAGCGTGACTACCATGGACACGCCAGTGACTGACCTGGTGCACCGTGTCACCGCCCGGACCCGGAACACGGCCTGCGGCTGGTAGATGATGTCCAACACCTTCTCAGAGTCGACAGTCAGCTGCTCCAGCGTCTGCCTGCAGGCTGGAGGCGACCCTCGACGTCACCGACGTAGAAGGCGTATGGCACCGGCTCCTCTTCCTGCCGATGCCACGTGTGATGTGACGTCACCACATCACGAGGAAGGGCCTGACGCAGGTGTCAAAATGGATGATGACTTGATGACATTGAAGACACATACCAAGAGATAATGTCACGCCGAAAACCTGCCCTGGAAGGGCGGCAACACATGTGATAACATGACTTATGACAGAAATGCCCGCCTGCTGTTACCTCTGTGCACGCAGAACTCTGAACAGGGCATTTTTAATTTATCTTTAGATTGCCTACAAGCATGTTTATCTGACCCCCATCCAAACAAACACAACTGTACTGGTGCCCAGCACATATCAAGGTGATACAAAATGAGACTGTACAGATTTACATGCAGTCATGACAAAATAGCTAATTTAAAGGTACACAACCTTTCAAGAAGTGCATTGCAGACTAACTGCAGCTTATCCTTTGTGATTGTGACTGGCAGGTTGAAAGGAGCACCAGCAATGTCCCCTGTTTCTGAGCGGAACTGTGCCAGAATATGGCGAGTTTCCTCAGCTTCCATTGGCTCCTCCCATTGTGTCCGACTTCAATGAGATAACTTGTATGAGCAAGATGTGCAGCAATATCGATCTGTAATGAGAAAAAATAATGCCAGTCAGTATCTGCCTGGTGGGGAGTACCATGCTAACCACCTTTTCCCACTTCTTCTCATTAAGATTTTTAAACTGCCCATGCAACCTTTCTCCAGTCCTCTTCACTTCAACAAGTTACAAGGACCAATACAAATGTGATACAAAATGGCATGCTTTAGGGATATGGGATGGCACATAATCTACCTGATGCCTAATACAATCCATTGCACAAGCAGTTCAGGCATTTTTGAAATACTTAAAAAAGGAAGATATTTTCAGCCATCCAAGACCATCTGAAGCCATTTAAGACCATAAGACCATTCTAAGATTGAAACATAAGACCATTCTGGCCTATACCCCCACATCTGGGGTCTTTACACATGTGCTTAGCAGGGTCTTTGAAGGTCTGCCAAAACGGACACTAATTAAATCATAATCAGAAACCAAAATTGCCTGGCTTTTGATTAGAACATTTTCTGAGAAGTGCTCATGCCAAGCAACACTTGTTGCATGAGCCCTGAACTCCCCAACAGTGAAATTTCAGCTCATCCACACACTTTTGGTGAGGCCTAACATCTAAAATGACCACTACTGCTGGCATCAGCCACATCACCATTTGGTTACAAGGATTTGTCATGTGTATTTGTTTGTGCCATCGTAGATTAGAAGTTCAGATTTTTGAAACCTCTGAAAGACATCACAGTTCACCAATAGTCAATCCATCCACCAAGACAATCAAGACAACCAAGACAAGATAGACAATCCAGCAAGAAGCCAATTTTCAAGCCATTGATGCAAACTAGGTTGTTTGCTCAAATCCAGCAAGAGGTTACTTTGTCAATAATTGTGATGCCAAATAAAGTTATCCATTCACTTTGGATATTTGCATTGCTATGGGAGGGGCACTTCCAGTGGAGCAATTCAAGCTTAATGCTGGGATGTGTGGTGGATGGCTCATGGCCAACACCGGTACTTTACACTGCAATACTAAACTTTTCACTGGCTTTTTAAGATATTAACCACCTTAAATAATAACAAACATGAATACTTTATGGACATATTATCATCTTGCCTTCAAAATCTGATAATTACAATAACAGCAGCACATGTCAGTGGATAGTTTACCACACTGATCACAGACACTGATGGGACATGGGTTGCGGAGGATTGAGGGGAGGGGGAGGTTGCCAGGGTGATGGTGGTTGAGTTAGGTCAGGTTAGGTTTAGATGGGCTAGGTTAGGTCAGGTCAGGTAAGGCTAGGTTCAGTCAGGTTAGGTAAGGCAGGTTGGTTCAGGTTGTAGGTTAGGTTAGGTTAGGTTAGGTTAGGTTAGGGTTAGGTTAGGTTAGGTTAGGTTAGGTTAGGCTAGGCTGGGCTAGGTTACATTCTGGTCCATTTTAATAAATTCTTTGAAAGACCATTTTCTCAGACAGCTTACATGTCAACTAGAGTGTGTGCCAGTGGGTCAGGAATATCATGTCTCTGGATCACTCAGACATTCACTATCACAATTATTAAAGTTTTAAGGTAAGATTGTGGAAATACCTGTATGAGTTTTATATAAAAATATTGGGCACAAATTATTAGACTGTGTGAAGCTCAGATCATTGCTCACACCACAAAGCTGTCAAGCATGAATTAATTGATGCAAGCAACACACATTTAGGAGCAACTAACAAACTAAGGCTGCATAAGTACCAGCCTAGGATGAAATAATGATTTGGACCATTATCCTTCAACTGGTGTCATTATGAGCACAATTTTTCCAGTCAATTCTGGCTATCATCAGGTGTTAGTCATTAAAAAAACTGAGTGTTTTCAGTGTTTGGCCTTAGGTCATATGAATTGCTGGAAATCTAGCCAGGTCCTTACCATTGTGAGTCTGATACTCTACCAACTAAACCTACTGGGACGAACTAAGACAGTCCAACTTACACTATACCCATGTTCATAATACCTCATCTCAATGCCCCCGTAAAAC